GTCCCATTTGACTGCCTTTACAATGACTAAGAGGTTTGAGACCTTTGAGTTTTCGTTCCAGCAGGCAGTGCGGTCCTGGGCAAATTATTAAAACTGGCAAGTGGGGTTCATGGTGCTGTGCCCTGGCTCCAATGCTCGTACAACTCAATGGTAACTCGTATAGGACTTTTAAATTCCAGTGACACATAAATATGAAATACCATCAACAGCACAGTATTGAGAGGATTCACGGTGTGATTGATGAGCATATAGGATTATATATTACACTGCATGCGCCGAGAGTTACAGAGCTTTCAAAGATACTATTTTGTGAAAGATGGATGTTTGCACTTGAACTCAGCCTGCGGACACCTCTGTTTCACATCTAGAAGTTTACTTAGAGAAGGAGGGCTTAGCATTCCCTCAAATTCATATAGGTAGGTGGAGCTTGTTTTCAGATTTCTCTGCACCTCTGTGTGTGTGTGTGTGTGTGTTTATGTGTGCGTGTATACATGTGTTTGCAATTACATGTACACACACACATATATTTCTATGGTACTAATCACTAGTTATCCAGTCTCTTTGACTACAATCCAGAATATCCCAAAACAAACTTAACTCACTGCCCCTGAGTCGACCCTGACTCACAACAGCCCCCGAGGACAGAGTAGAACTCTAGAGAGGTTCTAAGACTCCAAATCTTTATGGGAGCAGACAGCCTCATCCTGCTCTCATGGGGTAACTAGTGGATTCGAACTGCTGACCTTCTGTTCAGCACCACACCACCCATATCAAAGTCAGTGCATGAGAGCTGTCCTCCTCTCCTACCCTCTCACCTTTGTTCTTCTTCTTTTTTTAATCTGCTTGAATGGAAATCAGAGCATGCTGCTTCTTAGAACTGGGCGCCCATCAGCATCCTCCTAAGAAAAATGACACCTTTTTCCTTTGTAAATGTTTCTCTAGAGAAACAAAACCAGAACGCTAATAATTTTACATATATTTATACAGATAGATAGATAATATAAAAAATAAACAATTAAATTATAAAGCAGTACAAATGGCTCAGTGCAACGCACTGTACAACTGAGACAGTTGTGAGACACTGGCAGTCCTTCAAGTCTTGAGGGCCACCAGGTAGTCCTCTGTAGAGCAATTCAGGCTATCCGGGCACAGGCAGCAAACAGCAAGGCAGGTCACCAACAGTCAGCCAGATGACAGGGTCCG